ATATCATATAATGAATTTTGCTTCATAATCGTATCAAGGTTGAGTAGATTTCATCTACAAACCTTATGTCGACAAAAGGCTGTAGCGACGTCAGGCATTTCTGCAAAAATGTTTGTTTCACTGGGCGCATGTATAAATCTGCAAGCGCCACGCATATCGGAGGTTCCATGCAAATCCGAAATTTCTAATTCTAACTGCAGCATTGGAATTGAAAATTCATGCTTTAGAGGTATAGGCAGTTATTTTATGGATGCTCAGCCCATTACCAATGCGTTGTGCTAGTTCGACTAAATTTAAAACTTGGCAGAGACTTTTATCAAAACAGTTGTTCTCGTACTGTGTTCATCTTCACCTTCCCTGATTGCTTCTCCTTTCGGGTCGCGGAGGGAGACGCATCAGACAGCGCTTCCAATGTTCCCGATCCTGTGCAAGAGTCTGAGTTTCGGCAGAAGAAAACTGCAGTCTGGAACGGACTCCTTCCATATATTTGCACCAGGTTAATCTTGGCTGTCCCCTGGGCCTTCCGACGGTCGGTTAGGCTAGAAATAGTTGCTTCACCTTCTTTTCTGGAGGCATTCGCAACACATGCCTAAAACCATCGTAGCTGTGAATTCTTAATCGAAAGAAGCAGTGGCTGTACATCTAGGCTCTCGCGGATGTCTGTATTTCGAACCATGTGCAAACGCCGGCCACTCGACAGAAACCCCAATTCAGCCGCTTGTACCCGAGAACAATTCTTTTCAACCATGGCCTAGGAATCATGACCGCAGATGAACATGGAGCTGAAGAAACGACTTGAATATTGAGATTTTAGTCGTCAGACTGAGGTCTGCTTTAGTCACAGCGGTTCGGGTTATTTCACGCAGAACGCCATTGGTTACTCCAGTCCGCCAGTCGATTTCTTCCTTCCACTTTCCATCGCCAACAAAACATGACCCCGAAGTGCCTGAACTTCTCCATATGCTTCACTGATTTTCGGTCTGTCGACAGAGCGCAACGGAGAGCACAACGCGAAAGCACTACGATTTGCCTTTAAAACACGTCCACACTCCATTGCGTAGCTTTCTAGAGGTCACAGGAGATCAATTTCAGTAGATGCCAGTCAAACAGCTCAAACAAGCATCTGAAAGCAGCAACAGTCCCGTCTCTACATCTTCTACACTGATCAACTCATCGCCTTGGCTGCTCCTGACTATTCTATCCATGTACAACACAAACAAAAGAGGCGACAGAAAGCAACCTTGGCGGAGACCAGTGCGAACGTTGAATGGTTGGTGTAACTCTGACGCAACACTTGCTCTCAGAATACAGTGATTGGATGGCCCTAAGCAACTGGCCATCTATCCCGTATGCTCGAAGGCATGTCCACAGACTGTTGCGTGGGATCCGGTCATACGCTTTCTCTAGGTCCACAAAACACATG